TGATATCAAATTTTTATACTTAAAATTATTATTTCTAAGTGGTCTATTAACTTTCAGACTCTGATACCAAATTAAAGAAATAGGAAAACCCATATTGATACCAGATTTTTATACTTAAAATTATTATTTCTAAGTGGTCTATTAACTTTCAGGCTCTGATACCAAATTAAAAAAATAAGAAAATCCGTATGAAAATCTGGTATCATAGCTTATAAATAATAATTTTAAGTAAAAAAACTATTTTTATAACAAATATAAATTTAAGGACTAAAAAATAAAAAAAATATAATTAGAGGACTAACTGTTCTCTAACAGGATAAGAAGTTTTCGTTATCTTTGACCAAGTAGACAAAATTGAAATGAATCTGAAAGTTAATAGACCATTTAGAAATAAAACATAGTTTTTAGACTAAAATAAAATCAAGATGATAGTTAATAGACTAAAAATTAAATTAAGCCATTTTTTGGTGATGTTGATTTGTAATTATATTACTTTTATTTTAAGATAATAGATATTTATTGTACTTGGTCTTTCGAGTTCAGTGACGTGAGATCACGTATAAATATATTTTTTTACTTTTAAGACAACAGTTTTATTTCAATCCATTGTAAATTTGTTTTTAAAAAAAGATAATAGATATTTATTATTTAATAAATTGAAATTTATATTTTAAATATTATAATTAATGATTTAAAATTATAAAAAAATAAAATATTAACTAAATTAAATAATATTATATAATTTTAACAAAATAATATGTAGTTGTCACCTCACCCAAGTTGCACGGAAAGATGATTAAGTAGTCGAAAGACTAAAATGAAATCACCCAAATACACGGCAACTTCCTAATTTGGTTGACTCCTAACTCTAGAAAAATGTTTAGCCGGTCTTGCAAGAAAAGGGTGCTTTTCTATCGGTCTCAATTTAGTTGTTTTTTATTTTTTTGAGCAGCATGAAAATTTTTTTCCAAGAAAAGAGACTTGAGATTTTATTCCAAGTTCTTTTAATCCTAAGCATGCTCTGCAAGATTAGTTATTGGATCACCGCTGAACCTCAATTTAGTTTATTTATTAACTTTTTGAATGTAATTTTAAATAAAATTTTTTATGATATACTAACAGTAAATGGAAATTTTGTTATTAAACAGAATTATTCAAAAAAATTACATACAAAATAAAACAAGAATTAATTACAAGCCGTATATTACTTAATAATATCACTTACACTTACATATAAAAAATTTTACAAACAATTATAATTTGATGTGGAGGTAGCACTAAGGAGAAAGAGACCACAAAGAATTCCCAGTCATGGCATTAATCACTAGGATAGAAAATATATTGCTTTAATTGTTGGCCACATAATTCCCACGCAGAATCTTTGGTGTAACTTTAACGAAAAGCTTTGGTCCCGTTCATGGGGCAAAGACCATATCTTAGGCTTTATCCCATAATGTTGATTTGTAGTTGTATTACCTTTGTTTTAAGATAATAGATATTTTTTTAATTTTATTTTTAGGTTAAAATTTTAAAATAATTTATAGTTTGTTTGTATTATATTTTAAAAAATAAATTAAAATAAAAAAATATTTGTATCTTCAAAAATATGAAAAATAGATAATATTATTTTAGAACAAGAGTAGTAGGTTTTTTTGTTTTAAT